GATATATAGAAAATTCTCAAATATTTGTAAACTAAAATATAGCAAAACCTTTCTAAATAACCCATGGAGTAAAGAAGAAATCAGAAGGAAAACCTAAAAATATTTTGAACTAAATGAAACTAAAATAAAAACATACCAAAAATTGTGGAAAGCAGTGATATTTTCAATGGATATATGATTCTTGAGCTTTGTTCTAGGATATAATTAAGTTACTTAGTAACAATTTTGTTCTATGGCTCTTGCACTTAAAATCAGATTAAACCAGAGCAATGCTGTATCCATTTCCTATTGCTGCTATGATAAGTTACAACAGGATTAGTGAGTTAAAATGACACAAATTTATTATATTTCTATAGCTCACAAGTCCAAAATGGGTCTTAGTGAGGTCAAATAAAGCCATCTGTGTTTCTTCTTGGTGATTCCAGGAAAGAATCCATTTCCTTGACTTTTCTAGCTCCTAGAAACTACACATTCCTTGGTTCACAGTCCTTTTTTCCATCTTTAAAGCAGCAACAGCAGGCCAGCAACAGTTGGCCAAATTCTTCTCATATCCTATCACTCCAATCTCCCTCTTCCACTTACGAGATGGGCCCAATTAAGTAAGCTAGGATAATCTCTCCATCTCAAGGCTAGCTGATTAATTCCATCCACAATGTTAGTTCCTCTCTGGCATATAACCTAACATTATCACAGATTCTGGGAATAGTACATAGACTTCTTTGGAAGGATGTTATTGTGTCCACCACAAGTATTTAGTCTTGTGCTAATTGTTTTTACTGAAGAAAAACCCTTCTGAGTTCTCTATTTCATGTTGTCAACTCAGGCAATAGTTCACCTGGTTGGAAACTCAGTTTTCCAGTTATAACCAAGAAACACTCTCAGGGTAGTAAGCTGGGGCAAATAAAGGGCTCACCTAATCTATTTTCCATATTTCAGGGATCACTGTCCTTTACTACTTGATTTTTAATACTTGCTATGGTTTGAACATATCCCCCCAAAGAACGTGTGTAAAGTCTCCAATCCCCAGTGTAACAGAATTAAGAGGTGGGACCTTTAAGAAGAGGTCGGGCTATGATGGCTTTGCCCTCACGAATGCAGTAATGCTGGTATTGTGGAAGGTTTGCCATCATAGATAAGGCCAAATGTAGGGACCCACCCAGATAGAACCGTCCTGCCCAGGAAAGAATGTCTCATTCAGGAAGGAATGAAGGTGCCAATCCCTACCCCCTCCAAACTCTTATATTCCTACCTGCCTTAACCCGTGTGCAGCCCACTTGCACAGAGTACACAAAGGCCACATTGCCCGCACAGAACCAGGACTCCGCCTCCTTTCATTCATGTCTTGGAATAACTTCTCATTTTTGGTCCTCACCCTCTCAATCATGGTAGTGGGTTCCTTATAAAAAGACAAGCTCAGCTCCCATTACTTCCTCCCCCTCTTGCCTTCCTGCCTTTCACAATGGGGTGATGAGGTGTGTATACCCTTGTTAGATGCTGGCCCTCAATCTTAGCCTTTTCAGTCTCCAGAACTGAGAGAAATCTGTTCTTTACAAATTACCCAGTCTTGGGTCTTCTGTTACATCAGCACAAATAGATAAAGACAATGTCTGAAAAACATTATTTCATATATTTTGTCTGGATTGTTAGTTGTTTTAGGTGGGAGGGTAAATCTAGTCACTGTTCTTCTGTCCTGGCCAGAAGAACAAGTATACTGGTGATTTTTGATTGGATGTCAAACACAGTGACTGTGTACCTTGTTGAATATTGGATATTTTTCTTTTTTCTTTTTTTGAGACAGAGTCTCACTATGTTGCCCTCAGTAGAGTGCTGTGGCGTCACAGCTCAGAAAATATTTTGGGGGATGTCAGGAGACAGTCTGAAAATATATTGAATGTTTGGAAACATCTCTGCCAACCTGAAGATGGTGTTTCTTTTTCTTCCTCAATTAGCAAAGCTGTGCTCAAACTCTTAGGCTCAAGTGATTCTCTTGCCTCAGCCTCCCAAATAGCTAGAACTACAGACACCCACCACAATACCTGGCTATTTTTAGAGATGAGGTCTCACTATGGCTCAAGCTGGTCTCAAACTTGGGAGCTTAGGTGATCCACCCACCTCTGCCTCCCAGAGTGCTAGGATTATAGGCCACTGCGCCCAGCCTCCTATAAGTGTTCATGAGTTTTGTTATGGTATACAGTTACTTGGGAACCATTTGGCACTTTGAGAAGTTTTGGTACAGCTCTTTAGTTACACTACCCCACATCACTCCATACTTGCCAAATGCTTTGTGACCATGTCCTTCAGTCAAGTCCCCTTGCTCTGGTTAGTCTTTACCACCTGAGTACCATAAATCTTTGGGACAATAAGTTTTTGTGGTAGCTCTTAAGCTTTTCAGGCAGTCCAGACTTGAGTAAGTATTTTTGGGGGAAGACTCACTGCATGCCCATCTCAAGGTTCCAATTTATCCTTCCACTACCATGCAGCACTGGGAATGCCATTGTTTTCACTTTACCCATCAGATACTCTCTGTCTGGGCAAAGGCCAACCCTCAGCCCATGACCAGAATCAACACACAGGCCAAGGGGATGAAATGGCTAGTGACGTCAGTTATTCTTTGACAATTCTCTTTCCACCTGAACTTTAGTTTATCTATTCCTCATCGATGCAACAATTCTCTGATGCATCTAAAAATAAAATGTCATATCTCAGAATTCTGAACTTTTTTTTGACCCTTGATCTGGTAGTTTTCCGGATTGTCAAATTCTTTTACTTCATTCCAAGATATTCTAACCTTAGATCACTCTTCCAGGCAACATAAAGAACACAGCTTTGCTAATTGGAGAAGAAAAAGAAACACCATCTCCAGGTTGGCAGAGATGTTTCCAAACATTCAATATATTTTCAGACTGTCTCCTGACACCCCCCAAAATGTTTTCTGAGTCCAACACTCCTCCCATTTCCCAACCCCCCTAACCCCCAACTTGTAATTGTAATGCAGAACTGTGATGATAACAAGACCACAGGAAACAAGGGGTTAGAGCTCAAGTTCACAGTTTTAAGTATCAGTTAGTCTGGAGACAGAAGTACACAGGTCTGCAGCAAGCTCCATGACTGTGTCAGGTGAGCCATATCTTTACCTGATGTTCTCATCATAAGCTGTCACTAGCAGGAGAACCTCAGAAGATGAAGTAAAGGGAAATTAGCTCAGGAGCAGTTGAGAAGTCTGTGAAAACTTACTTTTAGACTATCACAGAGCATACGTACCTTAAACCTTATAACTTCTGACAAAGAATTTTGCTCTCCTCCCCATTTCTTCAGGAAACCAATGCAAAGGGAAAACTCTCAAGACAGGAATCTCCTTCTGGACACTGAGTGCCTGAAGAATGCTAACTGGCAGGAGGACACAGAGCCATTCACCCTCAGCCTATGTAAGAGCTGGAGCCAGGGAACAGGTTAGGGAAAGGAACATGGTACTGCAGGCCTGCGTATGTGATGCTGGAGGAACAGTGGCCGCAGAGGAGAGATGGGTAGGGACAGGAAGACACTCAGGGTGTTCCTGAATCACCTGTGTCATATATAATGGTTGATACAGGCAAGAAGGGAGGGTTACAAGGGATACAACTAAAGACCCTAAACCCAGTGGGCAGGTCAGTTAGAAATGCTTTAGAAAGCACATGTCAATGCAAGTTTGGGCCCCGCAGAGATGCTGGTGCCATTTTGTTGTTTCAATGACCAGGGCACGTGTTTAGGAGACCATGCTTGCAGAGGCTGAGTCCACATCCCATCCACCCCTATCTACCTCTAGTCTGCAGACAGTCTTTGGCCATGCTATTTAAGTTTGATGTTAACTGTTCTAGTTCATTTTACCATGTTTTCCTCACACATCCTCTGCCTCACGTCTCACCTCCTCACTAACTCCCCTGTTCTTCTCACACTCTGGTCACTTCCACATTGTCATTTTCTTCTCTCACTTCAGAAAGTTCAGCTCATGGCCTGGGGCCTGTAGCTCAGTGGCTAGGGTGCCAGCCACATACACTGGTGGAGCTGGCGGGTTCAAATCCAGCCCAGGCCTGCCAAACAACAGTACAACTACAACCAAAAAATAGCCGGGCATTGTGGCAGCGCCTATAGTCCCAGCTACTTAGGAGGCAAGAGAATTGCTTAAGCTCAAGAGTTTGAGGTTGCTGTGAGCTGTCAGGCCATAGCACTCTACGCAGGATGACATAGTGAGACTGTCTCAAAAAAAGAAAGTTCAGCTCAGTTGAATCTATAGAGCAGCAAATATAAGAGAGTTTGGTTATTTTTGAAAAGAAAAGTCCAGAGGCCAGCTATGTACATGAAAAAAAGCTATAGAATATATAGCTATAAAGGGATAGAAAACAAAAATTATATTACAATTATGGCCTTGAAGGAAGCCATCTGAAGTGAGTGATCTGCTGTCAGAATAAAGTATATAATCTGTTTTTACATATAATGGAGCATATAACCTAACAAAGAAAGGGAGGCAGGAGGAGTCCAGGATAGTGGTCCTCAATTCTATGTATATTAGAACCATTTGGACAGCTGAAAAGGTGTAGATGCCCGGACCTCATACCTGAGATTTCCATTTAACTGGGGTAGAGGTAGATGAGGCATCAGTATGTTTACAGAATCTCCATAGGTGATATGAAGGTACAGCCAGGGATGAAAATCATTGGTTTAAGATCTCAGCTAACCCAGCATAGGAGGACAGCTAAATGTAGAGCTATCAGAGAAAATGCTGCAAATTAAATCATTGACTGTGTCTATACTCCTGTTGTTAATGTTGGTGTAGCCTAAAGCAAAAAGAGAAAACGTAGAGGCTGGAAAGATAGCCGTTGAGTCCCCGCCCCACACCTGTGACCCTATTCAAATGAACCTGTGTGGCAATTTACGTTCTTTAGGGCCTGAGACTACCAAGGTAGGTAGATCTTGATGATATAAATCTATAACAAGTCAACAACTCAGATATTATTGCTGTGTAATACTTTTATTAAACAGTTTTATGGAAACACCCACATCATTTCTGTATGTGTTACACCATGTCACTTTTAGGCATGTCAGAGTCCAGTGACAAATTACATTTAGAGAAAAGCATTAAAATTCATGCTTGGATGCTACTTCTTTGTGAAATACTGAAAAACAGCTCTGTACTTTAGCACTGAACGTTACATAAAGCACCATTTAAAATAAGAGTTACACATAGTCACTTCCCTTCAAATTATAGTCTTATCTACGCTTCCTGATAAGATACAGAGCTCCACTCCTTCAAAAAGCTTCAGTGTAACACCAACCAACATCTTCCAATTTACCAAAATTCAAATAAGTTTCACATAAGGGACCCAGTGCAGAATAAACAACAGTGAGCTTTGGCTGTCCTAAAACCACAAGCCGGATAGAATACGTGTTCTGTGGAGAGAAATAGAAAAGAACTAAGATAACCAATACCTAACACAGTACTTTCATAGGTATAATTTAACCTGATGCCTACAGAGTGTTAGTATTTCACACTGATCCCCCTGCAAAATTACTGGGCTACATACAATTAATTCAAGTTAACACCAACTAATGTTGGAACTAGTAAAAAAATTAATTTTTTTTCACTTTAGAGCACAATTACAGAAGCAAATCAAAACAAAGCCCAAATCAGAATCCTAGAGGGATTCCATTGCTTAAAAATGGAGTCTTCAAAGTAACAGACTTGAGTTTTTATATTTTTTCTTCCTTCTTTCTTCTTATAATTTAAAAAAGGTTTGGTTTTTACTCCAAAAGTTTGGGTTTGTTACAGAAATCACAATCTTTCAATTTCCAATTGTGAGTGGCACTTGAGGAGAGACAAAAACTTAGATCCATAGAATTTTGACCCCAACTGCTACCCCTCCGAGGTCCTCCATTCCACAGGTAACTGGAGCCAACAACCCCTGCTAGAAGACAGTAAGAACTTGCTTTAAGGATGAATCAGAAGAATACAGAAATGAACTGTGTATCTGCTGTTAAGCTCATGCCCCAAATCACTAGAACATGAGGATGTAGAAATCTCTTGAGAGTAGAATGTATTTCAAACACATACAAACACAGACTATTGCATATCATTTTTAGTTGAGGTCAAAAATTTAAAAGCCCTATTTCCCCAGTTAAAAGCAGGGAATTCTATTATTAGTATGTCTCCTAGACATACTAATTGTCTAGGAGACAATTGATATAAACCTAGTCTGGAGGCATCACTTCTTTTTAAACTTAACTTCATATTAGCAGCATACATGGAGTATTGACACTTTTCAAAGGGTTATCTCAGATCCATTAAATCTACAAAAGACTAGAACTAACTGAAGGAAAATGAGTGGGCTTGGGTTACAGGATCCTCAGAAACTTCTCCAGGAGTCTCTACCATATATAAGTGTATGTTTAAAAATATGTCTGAAATGCCACTGAGGCTATGAATGCCCTTCAGGGGAATTACCCACAGTGGTTAAATCCCCTCCAACTCTTAAGTTTAAAGCAAGCTAATCCTCATGGTGTGGAAATGCTCCACACCAATAAGGTGACTCACCTGTCTGTGTGTCAGGTACTGTCTGACTTGAGATGCTGGTAAAGTCTACCTGACAAGTGAGTTACAGGAAGATAGAGAGGAAGGGGTACAGAATAGAAATAAAAAAAAGCAAAGGGAAGATGGTGAACATACGGCTAAGTTTTGTACAAGGAGATCCAAAACACCACCATGTTTAATGTTTTTTTAAGAAGAGGATATTTTCAGTTCTGATTTGCTTAGGCCTTTACTTTCCTCATAACACTCAACTCAGTTCTTCTTTCTTTTCCCCAAACCCCCCAAACATGTTGCAGTTCTTTACGGGTCAGCCCTCCTGAAGAACTATTTTCTTTTCTTTCTCTTTTTTTATTGTTTGGGATTCATTGAGGGTACAAAGAATTAGGTTACACTGATCTTATTTGTTAGGTAAAGAAGAGCTCTTTTCTTATCCTGCCAACTTTGATTCTAAAATTCTGATAGGCAAAAAGTAAATAAATAAATAAATAAATAAAATAAAAGGCTAAAAATGTATCTTTTTGCATTTAATCATTTTCAAAATCTGCCAAACTATCCCTTTATCTAAGTGATATAAAAGGATGTATGAACTATACTTTGGGCCACCCTCCTTCTCGCCCCTCCAGAACAGTGTCTTGAGGACAAACCCAGACAGGGACTCTCAGGGCCATCAGGTGCATCAGCAGTACAGAAAAGGTACAGCACTGAATGAGTCATCACCCAGTTCCTCTTAACCATCCTGTACCATCCTGTTCATGCCGGCTGGTAGGTTCCCACTTCACATCTGGCTGGGATATTCCCTCAGAACTTGGGAAAATGACACACTCTGCACATTTCCAGATTAGACAGTTTTGAAGGTCACTCGCTCCAAAACCTACAGGCATTAGAACTAGACCCAATTCACAGAAGCCTCTGACCTGAGGGAAACTGAAGAGATCACTTTTCCTGCCCCATCCTACTGACACACCTTCATGGAGTAATTATCTTTTAATACTGCTGGCAAAAAATATGAGCACAACAAAATTCTCCATGTAACAACCAAGATTCTGAATGGCCACTTATTTTATGGGTATTGGATAAAAACAAAATTCTACTATAACCAAAGACTAAATTAATCCTGAGACTTAGTTAAAATAGGATCTGGCCCGGGATCTTTTTTAATGGCACATCATTTAAAAAGTAGTTGGGACCATAAAAAGTTCTCCACAAATACCTTGCTGTAGAAAGTGGTCTTGGGTGGCTAAAGCAATATATCAATTAACCACCCAAGCACTTAGTAATCTGCATTCCAGCAAAACAATGACCCCACAACTTACTGCCTCATAACTGGCATCTAAGAAGTCTACACAACCAAAGACAACTGAGTTGTCAGTTTTGCTTGGGAAAGACTGGAAGTAGCTAAACTGACCTGTAGGTGTCCTTTCAGTGAGGACTGGACTCATCTGAGCAGTCAGAGTTTCTCAATCATCAATAGTCTGGCCTCTTTCAGTGTTCAATGTTTGACTTGGTATCTAGAAAACGGAAGAGCCACAGATACCTGGAAAAAAATGTTTTGTCTCTTAACTCCAGAAGTGGATTGAATAGCTACTTGTCAGTCCAAAATTGAAATCAGTGACCCTATTTCATCATCAACTATTTTTTAAAAGTAGAGGCAGAAAAACAAAACTATCTTGCTAACATTTAGTGCAAAGAATAATGGTCCCTATTTTTAGGGTTGGACAAACCAAGAATACTTTCTTGCTTCTTGGCTTAATAAATCTTTAAGGTAAGGGAACCCTTTAGGTACATCAAATGAGCTTGTACTAGAGCACTAGTGTTTAGTGTAACAGTGATCATGGGGTTGGCAATGACAATGCTAGGTTGAGGGCTAAACTAGAGAAGAAAATCTTAAGAACCATTTATCAAGAGCCTGAAGTTCTCTAATGCAGTCTCTTAAGACCCATGGAAAGGCATTTAATTTTAATTAAAGAAAAATGCAGGTAGGTACGTAAAAACCTTTTACTGATGCAAAACATGAAAGTTTTCCCTGGTTCCACTGTTATCTTCAGAGCTGTCTCCTCTGAGAGAGAAAAGATGGAAGCAGGGCCAGGCCAAGTAGGAAAGCCTATCAATACAGCCTAAGCCTTGGCACCACACTGAAATAAAAAAGGGTCTTCAGCATCTGCCTTTTTAATAATGCTGAGACCTATTTTCTTTAGCAAAAGTTAAAATGAGCAGTAACAAAGTGGCCCTGGCCTGTGCTGGGCCCAAAAGGAAACAACCTGGCAGTCCTAGTCTCTTAGGCGGGTCAGGTCCCATGTAACTTTTCAAAGGTGTCACTTACCCAATTAGTTTTATGTTAGAGAAGGGTCAAATATATGATCTGAAGGAGGCTATTCAAGGAAGTGTGTGAAATGAGAGAAAAAAGCATTCTTGTGGGGCATCTGGTATCATACAAAAAAACAAAAACTGTGCTACATACTCTGGAAAGACGGAGAACCCATGCAAGAAAAGCCGCCCACACGTGAGGCAGCTGAAGTAGGGCAGCAGTCTGACACAAGTCATCCCTTGGACAGCCAAGGGAGCAGTGATAGAATCTCCGCCCAACAAGGCTCCTACGAGTCTTTTGTTCTTTCATTTTAGGAAAAATGCTTCCTGTATATCTATTCCTGCAGCTACTCCAAACAGGTCTTAGTGAACAGCCACAGGCAGACAGAATACATCTAGCTGGGGCTGGGAAGCTTCCATTTACCTTCCTCTCCTATGTGTATATATTTTTTTTTCTTAAAATAAATTCCATGAACTCATAAAGCTCTCATCTGCAATCAAATGCAAAAGCAGAGCATCCTACTCAGAGGCTCTGAAACACACATATTAGCCTCAAAGCAAATCAGCCTTCCAGTCTCAAGAAGACTGGTTCAGTCCAGAAAGGCAAGGGAGATGCTTCTCTTCAATCCTTGGAGCTAAGAAGGGATTCCTTCAGATGGGCTTGTACAACAGAGTGGTGACATATTTCTTCTTGTAGCGATGGGTCGCACTAAGAACCATCACACTGTCCTGTGAAGAAAAGAAAAATGCAGCTAATTCATTAGTCCAGCCAACAGGCAGCTCTTCCTAGCCACCAGTCATCCATAGCTGCTCACCTTTAACAGACATAGTTTGATGTAATAGAAAGAAATTGATTTTGGAGTCGAATTAGCTTCAGTTCTAATCTTACCATTATTATACTTGTGGCCTTGGGTAACAGTAATCTAACCTATAATACATCTTTTTTTCTCATCATTACAAAGGATAATAAGGATAATACCCCCCTTTAAAGTGGTTCTGATAATTACATAAGACTATCTGGCACAGTATCTGACATAAAAGGTGCTAAAGAAATATTAGTTTCTAACCTCACTCCCTTCCCTACTTTAAATTCTAATATTGGGCTTAAAACTAACAAAGACAAAAAATACTGTGGCATCCATTTCTAGAAGAAAGTCTTAAATGCAACAAGAAGAAAAAAATGATCCTTCTGAAAAACCATTTCTAAGTCCTGAAGCAGGTCTAATTTCCATTAAATACCAGAGATAAAATCAAAAAGTCCTCTTTGATCTAGAGAGAACCTCGGAATCCTATTATCCTTGAAAAAAAACAAACTCCACAATTCTTTTTAGGAAAACACTCAATCCAATGGATCAATTCCAAACAGCCTACCCAATCTGAGAGAACCAGGAATAGGTCAAAGCCAAGCTGAGCCACAGTAATTAAGGCCTTCACCTGGGTCAGAAGCAGTAAGAAGAGAGTAACAGGTGTCATTTCCCAGGCTGTGTTAAAGACCACGGAGGTACCACAGGAGGAGACGGCAGACCTACGAGTACTAAGTGACAGCCAATGAGCAGATAGTTACTGGAGGCGAAATACAACCAGATCCCAAAGAACCAGGAGAGTCCCATCCAGGAACCGTGCATCTTCCTGCCTTCCCCTGCACTGTGTTACCCAAATAACTGCCAATCAGGCTGACATTCTGTGACCAGAGTATGCTAGTTAAAAAGTCTAAACATGACAGAAGCAAGGCAGGTAAAAAAATTCACGGAAGGAAGGTTTTATAGAAATGAGGAGCAAGTGAGGGAAAGGCCTACTTGGAAAGACCCAGCACAATGATGCATAGGAAAGAACATGGATTAGGGCAGGGGGACTGGATTTCAGTCCTGTCTCTGATACTTACTGGCAATTTGACCTTCTCTGAGCCTTAGTTTCTTTATCTATAAAACAGGGGTTAAAGATAATACTTCACAAAATTATTATAAAAATTAAATTCAACAATATATTAAAAAATTTTGTATTACACATAATTTTTAAAGTCAGGTAAATCAGTGATTTCCCTAATCTAGCTGCACATCCAAGAAAGGCGAGCAGCTTTAGAAACATTCCTGAGGCCCATCCTAGGTGCACATGTTCACAATCTCCAGTGAAACAGCTTCTGAATCCGATGATGATCAGTTTAGGTAGGATAACCACAAAGCTATGTAATTTTATTCCAATAGCCAAACCACAAAGGCACAACAAGGTGGAACAGAATAGACATTTTCAACCCAGAGTCTAAAGCAGCACAGAAACCAAGGAGGACTCTAGATTTGAAAGGGACAGGGCAAATCTGTCACATTCTCCTTTAGCACACAGGAGAGATGCAAGCCCTTGGATATATATGAATAAGGCCACTTTAAAAAATTCCACCTTTAAAAAAGTAGACTTAATACCACATTCCAGTACTCTTTGAACTAGAAGCTAAACCTGCTCTTTCGACAGATATCCTATTGCTATGAACTTATACTTAGGTGATATAAAGGTTCTAGCCACCCAAAATGAAACCAGGAAGCAAAAAGAATCCAATCACAGGACAATTCAGCTAGCCAGAACAAAGACACCGAAACTGAAACTGAAAAACAAACAAAACAACTCACTGGTTTAAAAATGGAGATTCTGCTATAGTTTAACCATTATTGCCAGCTTCAGCACCAACAAAACAGCAGAGTAAGTAACCAATGGAGAACATGTGTTACCCGCACCCTCTCCTCAGGGCAGTTCTATCAAGAGCCAGGGCCACCACTTACCTTAATGGACAATGCATAGAGATGGTTCAGCATAACGTGGTTGGGCTCGGGGAGTAAGGCTGGGTCACACTAAGAGAGGAAAAAAAATCACCAAGTGGAAATGATGCACAGACAAACCAAACAGCTTACTCTTTCTCAGAGCTCTCTGAGACTTCACAAACCTTAAACCAGACATATTATCTTTTTAAAATAAGGCACCCATTCCCACATGTATCAATAATGCGATCCCATTACAGAAAATTTTAAAAATTCTCAGCCCACAGCAGAAATCCTGAGCCTTAACAACTATCAATCTTCCTTAATGAGCTAAAACAAAAATCGTTTTAACACAATACAAGACTTATGTTAAGAGGCAAAAATAATCTTAGTGGGAATCAGTAGATTTTAGAGAGATGTAAGTTACATGCAAAAAAACTTTATAATTCTTTTATACAACCTAAATGATACATGTAGTACTCCTGAGGTTGTGCTGGAAGTCCAGGAATTGGTTCTAGCAAACCATAGCTCTGATCTTGGTTTTATTAAGACCAGGAGACAGCTATGAATTTTGATACCAGTTCCTGAAAAAGCCACAATTCGGCACTTGGAAAAAAAAATGTGTAATGCTACTGATATGTGTATGATTTATAATCTCAACACACCTCTGTAATAATCCCAACCTCTAGGATTCCTGAATTTTGTCCCATTTTGTCCTAGAGACCCCCAGATACCCTAGCAATTCTCAGCATACTCACAGAAATATTAGTGTCCTTGTTAAGAATAACTTGGAGTAGGTGAGGAGGAAGGATTGGTGGGGACTTGAATCTCTCCTCAGATCGAAACACATACATTTCTTGACCATAAGGCCCTGGAGGTGAGCTGGACAGGTCTGAAAGACATTAATGCAAATACAAGGGCAAGTTGGAGAATGAATAAGAATGCACAGAAAAAGCTATCAATACAAGGCTGCCAGTATTAAATATAGTAAAAGTCAGGAATCGTGTGGTCATGACCTGCTGGATTACAGCTGAAAGGGAGCCAAAGGGAAAGGCCAAGTCATGCTGGCCATAACCACGATGTTCCTCAACACAGCAACATGATTTAGGGGAAGAAGAGACGAAGAGTCAAAAACCTAGGCTCAGGGAAGAGTTGCTCCATTTATCAACAGTATGACTCTCAACAAATTCCTACACTATGGTTAGTTTCCTCATAAAATAAAAATAATTATCTTTGCCCTATTTTGCAACATTTTTGAGGAAATCAAATGAGATAATGGATATGAAGATGCCTTGTAAACTTTCAAACAATGTGAGATTGCTTCTTTTTTCCAGGCAAGAAAACAGATGACGAGGTTATAAACTCTGTGACTACTGACACAACAATGACTGCAGTAATCCAGCATGCACGCAGGAGTGAGTCATCAGGGAGACGCAAATCAAACCACAACAGACAGCACTTCACGTTCACTAGGATGACTACGATCAAACACAGACAGTAACAAATGTTGGCAAAGATGTAGACAAACTGGAACCTTCATACTGTTCCCATTGATGGTGAGAATGTAAAATAGCACAGCCAATGTGGATAAGGATCTGGCAGGTCTTCAAAATGTAAAATATGAAGTTACCATATGATCCAGCAATTATACTCTGGGTATTTACTGACGAAATAAAATGAAAACGTATGTCCACAAAAAACGTAAACACAAATGTTGCTGAGAGCATTATTTATAATAGCTAGAAACAATCCAAATGTCTATCAACTAAGGGGCTGAAAAACAAAATAGTATGTCTATACAAAGCCATAAAAAGGGGCAAAATATTGACTCATTACAACATGGATAAATCCTGAAAATAATATGTTAATGAAAGAAACCAGACACGTAAGACCACATATTCCATGATTCCATTTATATGAAATGTCCAGAATAGGCAAAAATAAAGACAGCAATTAGATTTGTGGTTGCCGGGGTGGAGGGAATGGAAAATGACTATTAATGAGTCCTGGGCTTTGTTTTGGGGTGGTAAAAATGCTCTGGAACTTAGATAGTAGTGATGGTTGCAAAATTCTTTGAATATCTAAAATTATTGAATTGCACAAATGATATGTGAATTTCTCTAAAGAATGAAAAAGGCATGCAGATGAGAATAGAAAGAAATGCACAGAAATGCAGAGAACTATATTATGATGACATTTTAATTTAAAAAAATTTTAATAATGTATTTATAGTCTCCAGTGAAAACAATTTTAATAACCAGTTGATTATAAGAACTAAATTCTGATGTTCTATTGCATAGTAGGGTGATTATACAAAACAAAAATACACTGTATATTCCAAAATAGCTGGAAGGGAAGATTTTGAAAATATTCTCACCACAAAGAAATAGTAAATGTTTGAGGTGATGGATATACTAATTACCCTGATTTGACTATTACACAATATATACAGGTACTAAAACATTAATCTATATCCCAGCAATATGTACAATTACATGTTGGTTAAAATAATTTTTATTTTTGAGGCAAAAGGAAAAAATTATAATATTACGATATTAAACACTAATATATTATTAAGCACTAATATTATGATATTAAACAGTTTAGAATTTGAAACTTTTAAAAGCACTTTCAGTTATTTTGTCATGTGATCTGCAAAATACCCTCCGGAAATACATAGAATGGTTTTTATTTCCTGTTCATTAGAAAAAAATAAATGTAAATTTGTTAAGTGATTTGCTTGCAATCACACACATGGCCAGGTGGTAAATGAATGCAGATTAAAACCCATTATCTGCATTGTTAGGAATCTAATAAAAAATGTATTATAACCCTACCTCAGTGAATCAGGAAATTGGATGAAAGAGGAAAGAGAGAAATGTCAAAAGTATGCTAGTCCTCTCTCTCTATATATAATTATGATTACATGCCTATCATTTATTGGTTGTTTTGCTCGAATCATATAATACATAACTTTAGTCAAGTGGCCTCAAAATTTAATTCAGTATTTTTAAGCCCATTTAAAATCACTGCCCTACCAGTCAAGAATAATGTTCAGGTTAATTGTCTGAACTTAGATAATAAGAATATTTTCAAATTTTTCCTCAACAGGTAATTATTAGAAACTGCATAAGCTACCCTTCTACACTGACATTTGAATATGCTCCATTTAAGGTACTGTGCCTCCTCTGTTGAGAATCACCAAGAGTCTAAGCCCCTCATGTTACTGTGAAGAAACAGAATCAAAAGATTGGGAGACTTATCTACGATGGCAAAACTAATTAATTAGTAGCAGAGGCAGGCTCTGAACTCAGAGAGAGAAGTGTGCACAGAGAATACAGTGCACAGTTCCTTTTTCTGAGATAGTCTCACTTTGTCACCTTGGGTCAACTGCCATGGCTTCACAGCTCACAGCAACTTCAAACTCTTGGGCTTAAGCAATTCTCTTGCCGCCTCCCAAGTAGCTGGGACTACAGGCGCCTGCCACAACACCCAGCTATTTTTAGAGACAGACAAGGTCTCCCTGTGGCTCAGGCTGGTCTGAAACCTGTGATCTCAGGCAATCCGCCCACCTCAGCCTCCCAGAGTGCTGGGATTACAGGTGGGAGCCACCGTGCCCAGCCCTAGTGCACAGTTCTTTACACAGTCACGGCTCTTACTGTAAAGTAACATGATAATGATGAACGTGCTTTAGTAAACGAAGAGATAAAGGCCTTGCATAAAATAATATAATAAGAAATAAAAGTATACTGGTCTTTTCCCCTACAGGGAAAAAATTCTCCAGGAAATTTTTTTTTAAACAAAGCCAAAATTTTAATCACATACAAAAGAACTGTTTTATTTTTTTTTAACCCATTTTTCTTCACATTTACAGGGCCTGATAAAACTGTAAAACTGCCAACTGAGCTCTCAAACTGTTGCAATTAAGCTGAGGCAGGTTAATAATAGAAACTACACACATCAAAGGAAAAACTGCCGTATTATTAAAAATAGCCTTTTGAACTATAGGCTGAAGCCTATTAGTAGGTTATAAAAGATAAAATAGAAAATAGAGTGTTTCACTTATAGTAAAGGCAAGTATGGTACCATGAGACTTGTGTTACGGTTTGCATATGTGTAAGTGGGTGTGTGTATGTGTGTATCAGATTGCAATGCAAAATAAATGTCTTACTGTAGATCCTGGTTAAAAAGTTTGAAATAAAATACTTTACAATGAGATATTTTTTGCCACAAAGAAGGGGTTTAAATGTTCACAGGAGAAATGTATGCATAGGATTCAAAAGATTCCTGAAGCGAAATGGAAAAAAAACAAAAGAAAAAGTAACTTTTAGGAAGGAACATTCATTTAAGAAAAGACATAGCACAAAAGAGCAAATACTACAAAATTACCTCTACAAGATGTCTCCGAGCTTTCCATGGAGTCTAGCTTTAAAGCATCAAACACCTCAAAATCGGATTTCTTGACATGGATCAAATTGTTAATTGTGCCAAGCTGACTGGTAACCACAGGCTGAAACAAGGAACAGAAAAAATTATTGAATCCCTTTTTCAAATCTATCTCTTTCATCCAACCTTCCTCTTTCACTACAAGTTAAACACGATCATTCTCAGCCCTCCCATGTCTTCTCAAGAAGGAAATCCTCCAGAGTAGGGAGCTGCTGCCCATCAGTTCTGAAGCAATGACGCTGAAATGGGACTGCTAAGCCAGTATCTACCCTCGGAGATCCAGGCCTTACCTCTGATGGATCATGAACCCACTGTCCATCCACAAAGAATTTGTATTGGTGCTCTCCCTCAGGGAGGTCCAGGATGGCAACAAAGTCATTATGGCTACAGAACAAAACAGAAAGGCAAACAGACCAAGATCCTTATTAGAAGACAGAATGTTAAAACCAAGTGGCCATCACAGTATCATACCAATGACTTCCCAGATTCCTAAACCACTGCATCCCCTGCTGTGAAAAATAATTTATAAACCCATTCTTCTTTATCACCTTGCACATGCATTCACCGGCCCCTCCAAATAACTTTAGTTCTTAACTGATATTCAGAAAAGAATGATAAAGACATTAATCCTCCCAAATGGTTCACCTTAGTACAACTACTTTGCTTCATAGGGTAGTTTCCTCACAAGTATAAGACAACAGGATACAGAATTCAGGATACAGAATTGCCTCAAGGTATTCTTTCCCTATTATGGTGAACCTTTTCCAGAAAATGCCCTACCATACGAAGGGCCATTCTAATCACCAGTTAATTAATTTACTATTGCTTTGCGAGCAACCAATCACATTACTATCTAGAACTTCATAACATGTTTTGCTTCAGTGAACAAGACTCAGCCAGTAACAGAAGACTTCCTGCAAACATATCAAGGACTTGTGTAACACATTCCCAAAGAATGTATCCACAAAACTGTTTTAAGTCCCTCTGTGGCAATGATATTCTAAGTAGTAAAACTTTCCTTATGATGAGGTTTAAAAAAAAAAAAATCCACAGACAGTAAGTGGTCACAGAAAAGGGACTATAGAGTGAGTCCCTAAGTAGGCAGAGAAAAGCAGTGCAGCTGAGGGTCTCTCCTTTCTGAGAAAGGAAATCAGGTCTCTATTCCTAGACCCTGTAGACTTCAACCAAGACACTTGTCTTCACCTCTTAATCAGTGGAATCTTGGTGCTCCAATTGTTGAAGGACCCAGAGATGAAGACCTCCTTGCCTCCTTCAGACCAGCGGATAACAGTGGGCCGGGCCTGCTGTGTGGGCTTTATGGAGTCCTCCAAATCCTGCTGCCATGATACAAACTCTTTGTCCCCAGGGAGCTGTAAGAAGGAGTAGGTCATCCCTAGAATAAACTGTGACCCAAGAATTCTTAAAAGATCACTCTCTTCCCTAGAGTAGAGAAGGGTGCTAGGCTTTAGCTAAGGTTATAGTCCTAAAATTAGCAATCAAATAAGATTTTAAGCAAACTACAGAAAAAGAACTCTTCTAGGAGCAAAAGTGGTCACATAGCTTTTGCTCAGGTGCTGCCTACATCACCTTCTAACTTCTGAGTCTGCATACACCATCCACCCTTTCAGAGCCTCACGGTCTCCCTTTTTAAACAACCAAAAAACAAAACAAAAAATTCTTACTTCCTATTACCAGTTTAACTCATAGGCAGGCAATATACTTCTGAGCCCTTCTTAAAAGACAAAAAAATATGAAAACCAAGTATGGTTCCATAAAAAATAATTGTTAGCCATATATTTTTCATTGGCAAATATGAACAGTGAACAGCTTTCAACTACCAGTTATAATGGAAGTTAGAGATATAATTCATAAGTAATTCATAAACTCTATTTCAGCTAATACGTTAGAAAAAGAAGAGATATTAAAAATTGAAAAATCAGATCACTGACTATTTAAAATTTGAGAAATAATTAAGAACTCTTACTTGTTGCCCTCTGCCAGGTTTATACTAATTATTTCGGGAATAGGAATGGAACCTCAAGGAGCAAGAGATCAAACACACAGCTTCCTTTAACAAAAGCAGTTCCATTATCAAATGAAGTTTGTAGGATTCTGAAACAATTAACTCCTAAGTTTGTTTTTATTACCATCATTCAGACCAGAAGTTGGCAAGCTAAGGGCAGTGAGCCAGATGCTTTTATTAAGGTTTTTTTGGAAAACTGCCACGCTTACTTGTTTACCTTTTGTCTACAGTTGCTTACATGAGACAGAGGTAGAAATGAGTAGTTGAGACAGAAACTATATGATCCACAAAGTATAAAAGATGTATTTACTGTCTGGCCCTTTACAGAAAGTTTGCCGACCCCTCCTTTAGACTGGCTTAAGTGACTTTGGCAAATAGGTAAAAATAAGACTATGATATTAAGTCAAAATATTACCAAACAAAACAGGTGGTTCAAAAGAAAAGAACTAGCTTATTCATTTGGGATTTCTTTTCAAGATGGATGAGGTAATTTGCCTTCTATACTCTCTCAATGACCTCAATCCAAAGTAAATGGAGAAAGAGAACTGAAGGAATTTTCACATTATAGAAGAATCTGCTTTAAAAAAAATCTTGGTCTCCATATTCTCAGAGCAATGCACTCTGACTGGCTATATTAGAATTATAGGAATTTTTACATATGCCTTAGAATAACCCTCAAATTCTGATTCAGATATAGGATCTGGGGAGCTAGTTTTTAAATTTTTAACTTTAAAAAAAATTTCTCCCCAGAGATGAGGTCTTGCTATGCTGTCCAGGCTCTTGAATTCCTGGCCTTAAGCAATCTTCTGGCCTTAAAAATCTCCAGTCACTGGGTTTATAGGTGTGTGTCACTGTGCCTGGTTTGGGAAGCTATTTTTAAAAAGCTTCCCAGGTAATAATTATCAGCAATTATGTTAAAATAACGAAAAAGAAAACCCCTCATCTTCAGAGATACATTCTAAACTGATACAGATTAAATGTTATATAACGTCTGGAATTTGCTTCAAAATAATTGGGAGGACAGTAGATTAGGGTTTAGGCAATATATATTCACTCATTATTTGATCATTATTTAAACTGGGGTTCAAATGCAAAGTTCATTATACTGTTCCCCTTACTTGGTAAATGTTTCAGATTTTCCATGAAGCATGTAAACAAATCTCAGATGATTCTAATGTGCAAGGAGGACTGGGAACCACTCAACTAGTCAATTGAAAAAGCCTGGTATTCAAAGCAATGTAGGCCCCATTGCCACTATTTCTATCAGTTAATTTTATGGCTTAGGACTTTCAAGTTAGTCTGAAAGCTATAAACTATTAATATGCCTAGCTTTGGAGGAAAGCCTCTCCCCTTACGACATGACATTTCTGTGGTAGGAATGAATGCAGCTGACTAGCAGGAAGATTGTTTACTCCAAGTTAAATAGTCAGCAAGATTACCAGGAAAAGAGGCAAAACAACAGAGTTATAGTTTGATGATGTTTAAGTAAAATGTGGAGGTTTAGAAGTAAAGAAGATAGATTGAGAATTACAAAGTATTAGATTTGGAAGAGGCCTTAGAAATTATCTGAACCAATTTCCTTATTTCACAAATGGCAAGACTAACGTGAGGAAAAGCATCGTCCAAAATAGGCTCCAATTCAGACAGAGCAAACTGGTTTTTTTTTTTTATTCAGGACACCAATTACTGCAGTCACAGTTTGACAAGTACACTGTACTTAAATCCTGAGTCATCAATGTAGGAAAAGGATAAAAATACAATGAGGCTGATCACTGATCACCTTGAGAAAACTCTGAGGAAGTAAATTCAGATGGCTGAGGAGACAGCCCAAAGGATGAGGAAGAAATCCTGAAATGCGACAGGGAAGGAAGAAATGCAGAAGAAACCCCAAGAAATGTCCCTTTCAGTCACTCTCACTTCTCTGTGATTATGTTCTCACTAGGAGCCAAGGATCCAAATTTCATGTGTTCCCAATGTGCCAAATACTCATTCTCTAAAGCCCCAGTTTGGTGGGAAGTGATAAAGTAACAGGAAACATCAAACACACCCCAATCTCCTCAATCCCTCCATTTTCCTATTTCACCCACTCAGCCTATCTGGAAGAATTAAAAGCGTGTTTAATGGTGACAGCTCTAAAAGTGACGAGAAACGTTAGGGCGTAATCACATTGCTGTCAGCTCCATCTGTCCTCACTGTAGAATGAACACATCTTTCTGAAAGTCCTTGGAATTGAGAGCAAGGTCTTCAGGGCAGCTGTGGGTTGTTTCCAGCCAAGCAATTTCGAAATGCTACTGGGATTGGAAAAATCCTGGAATCATTTGCTCTCTCACTGGAAGAGCAGCTGGGTGTGAAAGCAGCACAGCCTCAGCCACCACAATGCTAAAGTATGAGACAAAAATTGAGCAGTCAACAACAACAAAAAAAATGCCCTTTACTGATCCCCAAGACTAAGACAAAGTATTCAAATAAGCAAGTGGTCGATGCTCACAGCCAAAGGAGAGAAGTCCACAAGTGCAGAGCTGTGGGCAAAAATGATACTGATACACAGAAATTTTCAAGGGGGAAAAAAAACTCATTTAGCCACCTAAGGGCAAAGGAGAGAAACTACCACCTTGCAGTTCATGCAACCCACCCTCTAAAGTTTTCTACTAGGACTTGCACCTATAAACTCAGCAACATTGTAGAAGAGGGCACCCAAGGCATGTTAGGAAAACCAAAGGTGGGTCTGGGGGAGGTGTCTACTATCCCCATGTTAAAAATGTGGCCAACAGATCAGTCGGATAACGAGGAAAACAAGAACTCCACGTCTTTATCTGATTTCGAGGCAGCAGCGCCAGAGGAATTACCATCTAACATCTCTGTCCCCGGAAAACCCCTTTAATTCACAAAACCGTAACCCAGCTCAGTGTGATGAGAAGAACCCAGAAAGGGAAGAAACCCAGCAGCGCTGCGGCCACCAACTGGGGGCAAGGAGACGTCTACCTTGGAGTCGGGCAGGCTGAAGACGCTGGGGTCGTCCGTGCTCCCCACCATGATCTTGTGCTCCTTGCCCGGGCCGTGGCCGCCGGCGCCCTCAGCGCGCGCAGCCTTGGCGCCGTGGCGCTCCCCGGACACCCGGTCGCTGGTGGTGTTTCCCATGACTGCAGCTCGCGTCGGGGGCCACCTGCCGCGGGGAACCACAGGATGGAGAACACCCGAGCCGTCGCGTCGGGGCGCCCCCGGCCCCGCCCCTGCGCCGAGGGACCCGGCCAGGGAAATCCCCGCCCCGGAGCAGCCGGGCCCGCGCCCCTCCCTCCCGGCCGCAGGGACGCCCCTCTCTGCCCGCCGCTCGGGAAGCCGCTATCGGGGCATCCCCGCGCCCGCTGGCCGGGCGTCCCCACCCCAGTCACCTCCGGCGATGCGCTTCCTCCTCCTCCGGCCGCCGGCGCTATAGCTGTCCTGCGGACCGAGCCTCCAATAAAGTTGTTGAAATTGAAGCCGCACCCCGAGCGGACGATCCCCGTTTCCTCCTAAAATGGCTACAAGGCCCGCGC